TTTTAAACGGTCTCTAAGCGGCACGTAGGGCAACTCGATCGGACAGGGGAACAGATTTTTGTACGTTTGGGGCAGTTCTTATAATTTTTAAACGGTTTTCAAGCGGCACGTAGGGCAACTCGATCGGGCAGGGGAACAGATTTTTGTACGTTTGGGGCAGTTCTTATAATTTTTAAACGGTCTGTAAGCGGCAGGCACGTAGGGCAACTTGATCGGGCAGGGAACAGATTTATGTACGTTTGGGACAGTTCTTATAATTTTTAAACGGTCTGTAAGCGGCACGTAGGGCAACTCGATCGGGCAGGGGAACAGATTTTTGTACGTTTGAACAGTTCTTATAATTTTTAAACGGTCTGTAAGCGGCACGTAGGGCAACTTGATCGGGCAGGGAACAGATTTTTGTACGTTTGGGGCAGTTCTTATAATTTTTAAACGGTCTGTAAGCGGCAGGCACGTAGGGCAACTTGATCGGGCAGGGAACAGATTTATGTACGTTTGGGACAGTTCTTATAATTTTTAAACGGTCTGTAAGCGGCACGTAGGGCAACTCGATCGGGCAGGGGAACAGATTTTTGTACGTTTGAACAGTTCTTATAATTTTTAAACGGTCTGTAAGCGGCACGTAGGGCAACTTGATCGGGCAGGGAACAGATTTTTGTACGTTTGGGGCAGTTCTTATAATTTTTAAACGGTCTGTAAGCGGCAGGCACGTAGGGCAACTTGATCGGGCAGGGAACAGATTTATGTACGTTTGGGACAGTTCTTATAATTTTTAAACGGTCTGTAAGCGGCACGTAGGGCAACTCGATCGGGCAGGGGAACAGATTTTTGTACGTTTGAACAGTTCTTATAATTTTTAAACGGTCTGTAAGCGGCACGTAGGGCAACTTGATCGGGCAGGGAACAGATTTATGTACGTTTGGGACAGTTGTTATAATTTTTAAACGGTCTGTAAGCAGCACGTAGGGCAACTCGATCGGACAGGGGAACAGATTTTTGTACGTTTGGGGCAGTTCTTATAATTTTTAAACGGTTTTCAAGCGGCACGTAGGGCAACTCGATCGGACAGGGGAACAGATTTTTGTACGTTTGGGGCAGTTCTTATAATTTGTGAATGGTCTTCAGGCGCACGTAGAGCAATTTAATTGGACATGGAAACAAAATTTTGGTACGTTCATGCAATTCTTATAATTGGCGGTCTTTAGGTGGCTCAGTAGTCGTGCTTTTCGGGGAGGGATCTCCTTTTGTAGTAAAGCTTTGTATTCCTTTGGCGAAAATATTGATGGATTTTCTGACAAAGTTCTTAGACGATTGATTTCGTTGATGTTGGAGTTGATTCCGAGAGGAAAGTGTTTTTTGTAGTGCATATAATTGTTATGGGTGTACTTCTACTTCCAAAACGATAGGTGTTCTTCTACTTCCTTAACGATCTAATTGTTGAGAAGAACTGGAAGTGCAAATTCTTTTTGAGAGGGTAGAAAAGTGGGGGGGGGGTTATCTGAATGTCTCCGTGAGGAGGGGAAATTTGCAGAAAGAGCGTGGTAAACGAGAGAAAAATAATATTCCCTATGCATGGTGGCAGCAGGAATTTCGAGAAATGCTAAGATTTGTGGAGATTATTGCTTCTTCGAACATCTCCTTTTGTAGAATGCTTTTCGTAAAAATGTTCTCGGGAAAGGCATAGGAATATTGTTTAGAAAAATATATAATCACAAGTAAGCCCTTATATTGTATCTGCCCTTACCCACTTGCTAGCGACCCGTAGGGTCGCTAGTTACAAATATTAATCATATATCTATTGATAATACACCAATTACAAATACACCAATTCGAATACAAATTTTATTTTGATACGAGTTCGAGTAAAATATTCGAGTAAAATATATCCAGCATCGGTCATGCGAGCGGCAACTTGCGACTATGCGATGTGACGCGTGCGGACTCCGCCACGCGTTAAAGCACGTCGCATGCGGCGGCGCAAGGCATACTAGCCAGGGCCCGGCACGCGTTGGTTTGGAGCATTTTTGAAAACGAAGTCCCCCATGACTAGGCGAAAATTTACGAAGTCCCTTTTGACGTAAAAATCAGCAGGGAAGCCCTTATTAATCAACATAACAACAAAAAGCGAAAAAAACGCATTTTGAGATATCTAACATAACAAAAAAGCAAAAAGGAAACTTTTTGAGTTGATTGAAGGCTCTGTCACTGAGTATGGTACTATTTTGGTGCTCAGAATGGCGAATACCTCCTAGGCCAATTAATTTGTGGCCTCAACAATCTGGCGATGCATTTTTCGCCACATAGTTTGAAGGACACCGCATGTGATTGGAGCGCAACATCTATCAACGCGTACTTTTACACTATTTTTAGCTCAAAAAAAAAAGAGAAGAGGCAAAGGTTTGATTCGCTCTCTTCACTATATGATAGATTTTTGAGCGTTTTAATCGTCCAAATCAAAAAGGTCCAAAACTTATGTGAACTCTCCGATATTTATGCTCCAAACCAACTGGGTTGGTTCGGTAGTTGGTCCAGAAACCAACAAATCCGGAACGGATATTAGGACACATAAATTTTCAGAACTTTTTACATAATGTGCTTTGGAGCAATATTGTATGCACATAGCCCAAATTTGGGGTCATAAGGTTGTTTGTGCGTTGTAAACAAGCCATTTGTTTGTTTGAGTCCTGCGTTTGAAATTCGCGAACTTGCGAACGAACACGTTCAACTTGTAAAACCTGACATGTTTGTCGTTGTTTCTTTCGCGCTTCCTCCAAGACCTCATAAAAACGATACCCCCTTTGCTTCTAACCTCAAAAACGAAGTCCGGTTTGACCCCAAACCATCTGTGCCGGGCCCTGATACTAGCGCGAGCCTGATGCTGACTGGTACGGCCTATATGCGAACTTCGCTTTTTCATTATTCGAGTTTCTAATTTGATTCGAAACGTGTTTTAATTACTCGAATTTTCGAGTTCTATTCCAAAATGGAAAATCAGAGCTTCAAATTTCAAAAGCGAACATATTCGAATGTTTTATTCAAATGACCAAAGTTTAATCGATTCGGACTCAAGTATACTTGATAGCCTTATGTTGTTAGCAAAACATTCATAATCGACCTTGTAGGTTGAGAAGAAAACTGAAGCAATGTGGGGATCACCCACGGTTCTACACGAGACCTGTAAAGATTACAAAATATGCAGCATCTAAGGAATCAAAAAGTCCAAAAAACGCGATTTTCATATGTTAGCGCGAACAAATGTGATACATATGGCCTACTAGTTGGCATACCTGACTCCGTCCTGCCCGGTCAATGCACTATAAAGACCATCATCCTTTCCCTCCCTTGCAACATACTCCTGCCGCTGTCTCACTTCTGCGCCTACCTTCGCTATGTTTTCGTTATCAGCATGTTCACTTATCCCAATTTAGCGACACCCAATTCCTCGGGTCAAAATTTGCAGGAAGTCAATAACTTTGAACATACAGTTGGTATTTTCCATATCAACATCACTTTCATTACGGCATGCTCATTTACCTCCCTGTACCATCTCCAGCTTGGAAATGGGTATCGTATCCGTAATCAGCATGCTCAACTCCATAGCACAAAGTTTACACAAAGTGGAAGTCGATGAAGGTAATCGTGAGTTCTGAGGGTAAATATTGTATTCGTAACGAGATTGCTCTTAGCATACTGTACCACTTCCAGTTCCTTAGGTCAAAGTCCGCAGTAAATGGGTAAGTCAAAAAATGTAATAGGATTTTCCTCTGAGTCAACCTACTTGTTACCACAATGCTCACCAGCATCCTCTGCCATCTCCAGCTCAAAATTTGTACTGCTGTGGTCCCAGACTTATATGCAAAACTGAAAGCTGTTTGTCTGTCTGTCCGTATGCGGGTACGCCCCGCGCATGCATATGCACTAATAGTACCCACATACAGAGAGATGGGCAGACAAACAACATCTAGTTCTTTATACAAGATAAGTCAAGCAGTACAAATCTTGAGCCGGAGCGCAGGGAGATGGTATAGGGCCATTTCGGAAATTTGGACCAAACTTTGCGTATACATACACTTTGGGGCGGGGCGGGTGTTATAGGCTAATTTTTGTTATCGACTGAAACGACTCTACCCATTATTTGCTAAATCTATACGGAGCTGGAAGTTGGCATGGAGAGGTAAATGAGCATGGTGATGAACATAGCGGTGTCTGGAAAGGTATATAGAAGTGAAACCGCGACAGGGGAATGTTATACGAAAATAGGCAGGGTGACAATCATTATGTGCATTGACAGAGAAGGCGGAGCTGGGAATTCCAACTAATCAAGTAACCTTCTGGCTCGGCTGCTGGAAGGCGTGGCTTTAGAGCCTAATTTAGATCGCTCGCGCCCGCGACGCAGTTGCGTCCCTCTCGCGCGCATGTCTCTGACCATTATCTAGCCTTAATTAGGTCACAAAGCCCCGTTTTCCAGCCGACAAGCCAATTGAATCAAAGGGTATTTTGTGGGCGAGTACTTGTTTTATGGTGATATTCGCAACAGCCGAACGGTTTTTGTTGTGTTTGGTACGACTATGGGGCAATCATGCTTAAATTACGATCACCCTATCAGACGTAATCAAAGCTTGAAGTTCACTTTACTTCGGTTAAACATCTTTGCAAAAGACTCAGGTGGCAAACTTGATCTTTATCCTTTAATCACAAATCTGGACATCCGCTCAATCAGGTAGTACTGAATTATCTATACAGCCGGCAGGTTCGTGTCACGATGAAGGAAGTCGTCATCTTGATTTGAAATAATGCTTAGCAGCTCAAAGAGACCTATTTGAACTCAGCATTTCATGATTTCGACCCTTCACACCTTTCTTTGTAAGGTTCAGCTTGAATTACTTTTCTATCTTTGAATGCTTATCCTGCCACAAAAGAGTTGTTATCTAGGTTGATTCCTTGTGTCATTAAAGAGCTGCCTATTTTGCGTTCAATTTTGATTATTTTATTTCTTTTAGTTTCCAAAGAGTTGCTTGCAAAAGTGGAAGCACATGAGCGAGAGCAGCAGGCAAAACTTGCGAAGTTTGTAGATGGTGAGTTTCTTAGCTTTTTTGATGGCGAAAATTTTTTAGTAATGGTGTAGGAAGCCTGCAATGTGCTGACTTGAATATCGATCGTTTGAAGTTAGAAAAGGAGCAGAACAATTACGAAGAATCAGAGAAAGAGATGGTTTCAGCTGAAAATAGGTACGTCGTTCTTCCTTTCACATGTAGATAACATCTGAAGAAAGCGCATATCCGTGTAGTATATGTGAACAATCCCTGGGCCGGGTGGCTCTTTGGTCGCCAAGATTGAGACACATGTATGCCTTAGGCCCAAGGCATATCCCGCGTTTCAGTCGCGGCGCGATTTCCAGGACATAAGTTCCGAGTCCGCCGCGCCGGCGCGCTTAACTGTAGGGTCCCGCCGCATTTGTGTTAGACTGACGCGGCGACGAATCGCGGGCCATTTTTGGACGGGCATACTTTCGCCAACGATATCTTCACGATATCGTTGGAATTGAGCGATGTCGCGTCGGTGGTGCTGCACCAGCGACGGCGCATATCGCGCGAATTGCTTCTTCTTTGTGGTTCGTTTTGTATTTCTTTGCAAATGTGAACCTCATTTAGGACTGTTCCATCTCACACAATTGCTTCCTCTCTACATGAGAGAAGGTTGGTCATCGAGCATTCCATACTAATAATCCTTGAAAACAACACATGCGAAGTGTATAGTATGGAATGCTTCCCATATGTCACCTCACCCTTTTTGTTAGCATCTATTGTTCTCGCAAAGCGCTAATTCTACTGTTCTTGTTCAAACAACAACTAAATGATGACCAAATCTCGAATGTTTTCGCCATAATTCCTGAAGTAGAGTAGATGTGCAATCTTGGTTGCTTAAGCATGTATGTATGATCGTTCGCAGATTGGCAGACAAGAGCTCGCGCAGCACTCGTTGTTAAAATAGCCTAATCAATCTTTTACAGGGACGAAAGCGTGGTATTTCTATTACGAAGCTAACGTATATGCCTACCGGTAACTGAAAGAATGTATTCAAAACTTTATGAACTGTAGTCGATTTCATCGCAGATGTTAACTTGCGCCAGTATAAAAATCTTGGTAGATACGAAGATGAGTGTATCCTTGTTCGTTTGCTGTAATGTTCACTGAAAGCATATGCTGCCACATTCTGTTCAAATTTTCTTGAAAAAACGCACTTCATACAAACTAGCGCAAATTTCCCAAAAGTGCGTAAAATGCGGTGTAGTGTGTGAGCGTTCACACAATCGCAAGAGGTATGGCCTGTGAGCGAGAGATAAGCGATTTCTACGCAATGATCCGTCGCCTAAGCAGCCGATTCGCAGCGATTAAAAATCGTGACGGCGGTGTCACGACGATTTGTGCCTTAGGCCTTGACGTCTCAGATGACTATGTTTATGTAGAAAAATGAAGACTTCATTGTTGTGCGTGGCACCTAGCCATCCAAAAAGTCATGCTGGACCGACTTGTGAAGTCTTTGAGCCAACAGCCAACAGCCAAAGCGACTCGAGACATCGTAAAGTAGGACTTGTGAAAAGGTCGGAGTTAATCCGCTGTCATCCACGTTTGTCTGAAGGAGGAACATAGGGATGAGCAGAAGTTTGCATTGCTTCTATCTGGAGAAAGCTCTTGGCGTCTATAAGAAATCATAATTGACACTATGGAAGCATTTTGCCAGAACAGTAGTTAGGGAACCTGGTCCACCATGTCACGAAACGCTGCATTACAACATATTTTAAGTCAAGATTGGGATGATCGCACGCGGCTCTGTTCCACAGTGTCAATGTCTTTAACAGCGACAGTATGAAAACTTAAGTAAAAGTATAGGCTGCTGCATGACGTAGGCCCTCTGTCTTTGAGCGCGAATGCGGGTTTGTTAGCAGCGAGCGCATAAGGCGCAGGATTTAACACGATGAAGATACACGCGCCTCGCGTTTGCGCCCGGTCAACTAATATTGCTTCTGCGCCTTCGTCATGCAGTAGCCTTATGCACAGGGAGGAAAACCACGTTACAAGCTCAGTCTCTTGCTCATTATTCTAGAACAAGCAAGATTGAATGATTATTGAAGTATTGCGTACATGTCTTGTGTATGCCAACCAGTCTGCGGTAGAAGCTTACAGTCTTAACATTCAAATCAGTGGCGTACCCAGGATTTCGGCTCGGGGGGGGGGACAAAAATTTCTTCCTAATGAGGGTGCATGGCATCAGCCACGCACTCTTTACAAGACTAATTTGAATTTTTAAAATTTTTTAAAAGTTATTTTGATTATATACAAGTAGAAACAAGTCCTTTGCACATTTTTATGACACATTTTGAGTAACTTTCAAAAATTTCTGAAAACGGAATGCTGGCTTTTTGATTTTCCCAACATATTTTCAAGCATCTCTCCCCATTTTTTCACTTTGGACAGGACGCGGCAGGCTACGGCGTGCGCCGCAGCTCCCAGCAGGCTGCGGCGTAGCGGCGCATGCGGTAGGATGCCGCGTCTTGCGGCATAATATGGAGTAACTCTAAGAAGTAAAATGGACTATCTTAGCGTGCGGGGTTGAGAATTGCGCTAGGAAAATATCAAAAGCCGCGTGGTCTTTTAGAAATCCGAAGCTGAATCCAAAAAATGAGTGTTTGTCTGCGAAAAGTGACTTGACCCATTCATACCATTTTGTGTGCTTAGTGCTGTGCATAAAAGTATTGACTCACTAAACACTATTCCGGTACAACCAAATTTGCGGCTTGTCGCTAGCGAGAAGTCGAGGTCCGCTAGTTTTTCAGCTTCGAGGATCTCATGTTAGTCTTAGACTAGATTGAAAACATGCTGAATAAGTCAAAGATCTTCCATTTCGTCCTTGTCAGACGCTGATGAAGACGACGCAGTCGAATCGTTAGTTCAGTAAGGCTCCTACTGCAGGATCTGGTAGGCATGCACAGGACATTATCAACACATCACTCAACACATCATTCATTTTTTCTTGTGTCTACAATTTATAACATAGTTGGGTAGGCTGAGCTTGTGACATGGTTTTCTTCTTTCGCATAATGCAATACCATCGCTGTCTCTTTGGCATCCTTCGTAGAAATGTGGCTACTATCATCTGGGCTCGCATCGGCTCGCTGTAAATAAAGAACATAGATCCGCGTTCTGATGTACTTCGACTTTTATTTGGAATTTTCGCTGCGACGCAGCGCTTTGTGAATTGGTGATGGACTAATTTTCCATCTAAAATATTTTCTAGTACCAAATACTAAAATTAGTAGGCGTATACAAGACATTACTGACACCTTCTATGTCCCATTCAAAGACAAAAGAGCTTTAGTTTCAGTGAGTGATCGTAATCTTCTCCTAGAAACAATGACGTAATGAATTACTGTTATGCGCGCTGAACTATCGTTTTGGTGCTTTGGGTTGGTTGTGCTAAATCGCTACAGCTGCAGTTTTTTTCACGTTAGGTGCTTTGCTGTTTTGGTGTTGTGTTTCTTTTTGTATTTTCTATGTTACTGATCACTTCTCCATATAGGATTCAATTTGTCGTTTGAGATTGACACTGGAAGAGACAAATCCAGCCTTCATTTCATCAGTTGAAAACATTTTTTTTTCAGATCTCGAACTCATGGTTCTACTTAATTTGTCAGGTCTGTTCAAAGCTTTGGGCGTTAGGTTGTTGGTTACTTAGACTTCATCTTCGCTTGAACCGCTTCGGACATGGATGAGCGAAGCGCTCTCCAGTGTCATTTACTTGGTATCCCAACTATTGTACATGTGACTGGTTCCCAGATTCGTGTGGAGGCAGCTGCGGACATTCTTCGTGATTATAAGGATAAAGCTGATGAGAGAATACGAAAAACAACGTGAAGTTTCAGTATGTTCACCCTTATAATCAGGGAAACGCAGCCCACCTCCATACGAATGTCGGAGCCTATGATATATGCAGCCGGAACAACTACTAGCACTGGGTATCTTTTAGTTTCTGATGGGTACGTTGCCGTGTATGAGTTTTTTTTGCTCAAACTTATTGAAGTACAACTGGTTGCCGCACGTGTTGGTCATGCCAGAAGAGCTCAGCAGGGGGCACATGGGTAGACTGGATATCTTTTAAGTCGAAAGCAAAAGAAATATTGTACGAGGTCTCTGGTCAAACCAAAAATTGCATTGATTTGCTTGGTATCATGTTAGGATGTGTAAAAGCTTAGTTTGCTTTTTGAAACGAAACTTTAGGAAACTTATCTTGTCATTTACAGATTGTCTATATGCATTTTGGCAACGTCCGCTTCGGATTCATTCATCGATTGTTATCGTATTACCCTAATTTCACGTGCATGGGACGCGGGAGATTTTTTTTAAATTGAACAGCACAGACCCGCCGAAGGACTTCGCGACCAAAAAACAATTTACAATGCTGTATATTGCCTGAGAGTATCGTGTAGCATAAGTCTCGTTTTCCGAAACAGCAAGGCGGCTGAGCGGCACGCTTGAAAAACCGAAAAAAGTGCGTCTTATACGCGTGAAAATAGGGTCCCTGTTTAAGTTTGATGTCAGTGGTCTGGAGACCTTTCCGTTTCGTCCTACTGCGTCCCGGAAGGTCATCATTTCTAAAGAATAGTTGTATGCGGCAGTGGCGTCCCAGGATTTCGGACCAGGGAAGGGGGGGGGGGGGGGGGCGGAAATTTTTTTTTCAAATGAAGGTGCGCGTTGGCCACGCACTCAGAAAAAAATTTTGGAGTGCTTCTTAGAGTTTTTGCAGGTTCATAACCCCTAAAATCTTGAAAAGAGGGCGTGGCTGACGCCATGCCGCCCCCGAACATTTTCTTACAGGGCCAATTTGATTTCTTAAAAAATTCCAAAAATTATTCTAATTATTTAGAAGAATAAACAAGTCACTTGCACATTTTCATAACCTATGTAAGTAAACTTCAAGAATTTCGCGGCCCATTCTCAGGGAGGGGGGACGAAATTTTGGGTATATGTCAAAATGAACGATAGCTGGTACCAGTAGCGCGCGAGGTCATGAACTGGCAATAACGTGTTCGCTCGAAGCTCCGCCCTACTGCGGCGGACGAGTTTCTCGGACTTTACCGTCAAGTAAAATTTACTTTTGATAGTGAGATATAAGCTTGTTGCAAGCTGGGGTGAAGCTCGACTATTTAAAGAATCTTGTTTTGATTTTTTGTTTCTTTTTTTGGCAATCAATGAACAGTTGATGTGTTGGTCGTGAAATTCGAGAGATTTGCTGATTTACCTATGAATGACCGAGTGACTCCTGGATATCCAACTACGAAGTGTGAAATTAATCTAGAACACCCCAGGCATGATTGTCTGAGTGACCTCACATTTTACGACTAGTTCACACCAATTGCGATTGAGTTACAGATCGATTTATATTGAGGATAGCAGTTTTTGGAAACAAAATGAAAGAATTTTGTTATTTGAGGCAGATTCGAAAATATGTAAGTGCAGCATGATTTTCCTGAAATCTGAGAAAATTTATGGTAACAGATGTGAATAGAGAAAAACACTTTTCCAAGCATTTTCAAAACAATTTCCTCATACCTGCAATGGGGAATCATTTTGGACAAGCCTACCAGGAACAAATAATTGAAATACATTAGAAAGAGCTTGCGAACTAATTTTATAATGAAAAATGATCTGAAAACTAATTTTCAATTTAAATGAAATTTTGAAATCTACTGTTATCCAAATTGCAACCAACTGAAGGAGCATGAACGAACTATTAGAGAGTTTTCCAATAGCTGCAACGCATTCCTAGGCCAATTAACAAGGGGGCGGAGCGATCGGCGCACCCCGTACGGTACCCAGCTGGCGGCTGGCACATGCTATCGTTCATCTTGACCGCCACCCCGAAATTTTTGAAGTTAACTTACATTAATCCCCTCGGTCCGCCACTGGTGTGCGGGAAAACATCGAGAACGTTCTGCTTCAAAAAGTTGTTTAGGAGTCATGCCAAAGCTCGGAAAAAATAAAGTGCGAACTCGAATATATCGATTAATGATTGGCATACATCTGGAAGTACTCCTGAGAAACTTTTTGGTAGAAGGTCCAACTTCTGGAAGAGAGTACGGAGTTTGCCAACGAACAAGCTGATCTCATTGTTTTTACTAAAAAATTTGAGGCGTGAATCAGCACATACTTCGGCTGAGCTGGGGAGCCGGGAGGGGGGGGGGGTTGATTCGGCTCCTCCAAATTTGGCGCGGAAGTCAAAATTTGCCTCAGAAACAAACAGCTTAATTACAAGAAACGTCCGATAGAATGGCACCATATGCATGTACATAAACAAAAGAATAGGACTACTTTGCAAAAATATTGAAGCAATATGTTAATAAAGAATCAGCAGCTTTTTGCAAATTGTTTCTGCTTTGCGATGAATTGGAGACTTGTTTGCAAGGAGCAGGTAGCATATGGTACGGCAGTGTGGTGAGTGACACTTAACTGGGTATATGAGCAATTTATGGGTAATGGAAACTTTTTTTCCAAAAATATGGCACACTTTTTCTATTTGAACTACTTGAGGTGATATCAAAAGAACAGATTCGTAAGTTTTCTCTTCCCCACCCAATCTCTTTTAAATGACACCTAATACATTTAAAATTTCTTTATATAAGTTCTTAAGCAGCTTTGAAAGATTTGCTTTCTGTTGAAAAGGAAAGTGTTTTTGGTCGGAGTGGCCTTGTAGAGTTCTATACCATCCTGTGGGCTCAGAACGCTGATTGCAAATCTGCTTTCACTATTTGCCGAACGCTTTTGGAAGCCGAGTTATGAGCGCTTTTCGGGTTAGAAAAGTGAATGGGCTTGGACAGAACGCAGGAATGCTCAAATGGCCCAATGTTGAATGTGAGGCTACTCAATATAATTGATACTTTTGTCTAATGCGGTCATACTCAACACTCTCTATGAGCGCTGAAAACCGTAAAAGCTTGAACTGCTTTTTACGTACATTTTCCCTCTAAAAAACACTCATAATTTAAACGCGAAATTCTTGGCAGTCCTTCATCAAAGTCGATATGACACAAAAGGTAAAAAACGGACATTATTTTCTTTCTGTTGAGTGCCACTCTTAGTTTTACAATAAGGAGCTTTGTTTGATCCAATGCCGCGTATGTGTAAAATGCCTTTTTTGTTGTTTGTCTTTTTTAGGAACGGTGTTTTTTTTTTGTGAAAGGAGATAAAGAGCGTGTACAGATAAGGAAAATCTAGCAGCTGATTCAATTTCGAAAAGACCTTGTATATCTTTATCTATTTTTGCATTTTATCATAATATCTGGCTTTCTTGGAGATATCAGATATTGGTTTCAAAATTTTATTTTGCTAATGCTTACATGTTCGTATTCCCCTTGAGGGCATTTCTGACATCAATTGTGACGAAGTTTCTCCTCTTGAGGCTGCTCCTAGTCGCTCTTCTACGTGGCACTCCTCCTGCTCGCAATTGTCGCGGTGAAATCTTTGGATGCATCCTTTCTGGTTTTTGTAATAATTTTTTTTGTGCCTTTGCTGCTGGTGTTCTTGTTCTCCTAAATTTTCTTTTTGGTGGCATGCTTGCTGGCCTTGCTGGCATTGGTCTTCCCTTTGGCCTTCTTCGTCGTGATATTCCTTTTGGTGGGATTTGCGTTGGCCCTTCTGGCATTGATTCTCCTTCTGGGGTTCCTGTTTGTGACATTCCTTTTGGTGGTATTTCTGCTGGCCCTTCAGGCATTGATTCTCCTTTTGGCCCTCTTTGTCGTGACATTCCTTTTGGTGGTATTTCTGCTGGCCCTTCAGGCATTGATTCTCCTTTTGGCCCTCTTTGTCGTGACATTTCTTTTGGTGGGATCTCCGGTGGCCCATCTGGCATTGATTCTCCTTTTGGCCCTCTTTGTCGTGACATTCCTTTTGGTGGTATTTCTGCTGGCCCTTCAGGCATTGATTCCCCTTTTGGCCCTCTTTGTCGTGACATTCCTTTTGGTGGTATTTCTGCTGGCCCTTCAGGCATTGATTCTCCTTTTGGCCCTCTTTGTCGTGACATTCCTTTTGGTGGGATCTCCGGTGGCCCTCCAGGCATTGATTCTCCTTTTGGCCCTCTTTGTCGTGACATTCCTTTTGGTGGTATTTCTGCTGGCCCTTCAGGCATTGATTCTCCATCTGGCGTTCCTGTTTGTGACATTCCTTTTGGTGGTATTTCTGCTGGCCCTTCAGGCATTGATTCTCCTTTTGGCCCTCTTTGTCGTGACATTCCTTTTGGTGGTATTTCTGCTGGCCCTTCAGGCATTGATTCTCCATCTGGCGTTCCTGTTTGTGACATTCCTTTTGGTGGTATTTCTGCTGGCCCTTCAGGCATTGATTCTCCATCTGGCGTTCCTGTTTGTGACATTCCTTTTGGTGGTATTTCTGCTGGCCCTTCAGGCATTGATTCTCCTTTTGGCCCTCTTTGTCGTGGCATTCCTTTTGGTGGGATCTCCGGTGGCCCTTCAGGCATTGATTCTCCTTTTGGCCCTCTTTGTCGTGACATTCCTTTTGGTGGTATTTCTGCTGGCCCTTCAGGCATTGATTCTCCTTTTGGCCCTCTTTGTCGTGACATTTCTTTTGGTGGGATCTCCGGTGGCCCATCTGGCATTGATTCTCCTTTTGGCCCTCTTTGTCGTGACATTCCTTTTGGTGGTATTTCTGCTGGCCCTTCAGGCATTGATTCCCCTTTTGGCCCTCTTTGTCGTGACATTCCTTTTGGTGGTATTTCTGCTGGCCCTTCAGGCATTGATTCTCCTTTTGGCCCTTTTTGTCGTGACATTCCTTTCGGTGGAATCTCCGCTGGCCCTTCTGGCATTGATTCTCCATCTGGCGTTCCTGTTTGTGACATTCCTTTTGGTGGTATTTTTGCTGGCCCTTCAGGCATTGATTCTCCTTTTGGCCCTCTTTGTCGTGACATTCCTTTTGGTGGTATTTCTGCTGGCCCTTCAGGCATTGATTCTCCATCTGGCGTTCCTGTTTGTGACATTCCTTTTGGTGGTATTTCTGCTGGCCCTTCAGGCATTGATTCTCCTTTTGGCCCTCTTTGTCGTGACATTCCTTTTGGTGGGATCTCCGGTGGCCCTCCAGGCATTGATTCTCCTTTTGGCCCTCTTTGTCGTGACATTCCTTTTGGTGGTATTTCTGCTGGCCCTTCAGGCATTGATTCTCCATCTGGCGTTCCTGTTTGTGACATTCCTTTTGGTGGTATTTCTGCTGGCCCTTCAGGCATTGATTCTCCTTTTGGCCCTCTTTGTCGTGACATTCCTTTTGGTGGTATTTCTGCTGGCCCTTCAGGCATTGATTCTCCATCTGGCGTTCCTGTTTGTGACATTCCTTTTGGTGGTATTTCTGCTGGCCCTTCAGGCATTGATTCTCCATCTGGCGTTCCTGTTTGTGACATTCCTTTTGGTGGTATTTCTGCTGGCCCTTCAGGCATTGATTCTCCTTTTGGCCCTCTTTGTCGTGGCATTCCTTTTGGTGGGATCTCCGGTGGCCCTTCAGGCATTGATTCTCCTTTTGGCCCTCTTTGTCGTGACATTCCTTTTGGTGGTATTTCTGCTGGCCCTTCAGGCATTGATTCTCCTTTTGGCCCTCTTTGTCGTGACATTTCTTTTGGTGGGATCTCCGGTGGCCCATCTGGCATTGATTCTCCTTTTGGCCCTCTTTGTCGTGACATTCCTTTTGGTGGTATTTCTGCTGGCCCTTCAGGCATTGATTCCCCTTTTGGCCCTCTTTGTCGTGACATTCCTTTTGGTGGTATTTCTGCTGGCCCTTCAGGCATTGATTCTCCTTTTGGCCCTTTTTGTCGTGACATTCCTTTCGGTGGAATCTCCGGTGGCCCTTTTCGCATTGATTCTCCTTCTGGGGTTCGTGTTTGTGACATTCCTTTTGGTGGTATTTTTGCTGGCCCTTCAGGCATTGATTCACCTTTTGGCCCTCTTTGTCGTGACATTCCTTTTGGTGGGATTTTTGCTGGCCCTGATGGCATCGATCCTCCTTTTGGCGTTCCTGCTTGTGACATTCCTTTTGGTGGGATTCCTGCTGGCATTGCTGGCACATATGTTCCCCCTGGTGCCGTTACTGCTTGTAATATTCCTTTCGGTGGATGTCCTGATGACATTCCTGCCAACATCGCTGCTTTCACCCCTGCTGCCATCCCAAATCCTGCTGCCATTCCTAGCATTTCCGCTCCCACGTCTGACATTCCCCATAGTCCTCCTGGTGGCATTCCTGGCATAATCCCTGGTGGTGGCATTCCTCCTGTAAATGGCACACCAATCGGACTTCCGGGTAACGCCCCGGGTAGACCACCGTTATATCCATATGCATATGGAAAAGGATGCATCATATCTAAATGAAATACGCAATTAGTAATCGCAAAGCATCTGGATCAGAAGACTAACATCCATATGAAGGAGGAGCGGTGACTGGTTGAATCGTAGACTGTGAGTCTGCTATGGAGATAAAAGAGATCAGCAGCGCAGTTATGAGCATTTTTCAACTGAAATGGCTGAAATGTTTCGGTAAAAAATCAAGGAACACATCTCACAAGGGAAGGAAGAGTGGTCAAAGGGGCTTTTGAGATGTACACTATCTTGTAGAACTTGGAACTCTGATACCATATCTATCTTTGCTATCGGCTGCGGGCTTCTGAGCGAGGAGTCTTGAAGGTTCTTGTGAATTAACATTTGAATGCAAGATTAGTCTAAAATCAGTTGTAAGTTTTCTTAACGTTCAAATGAGGCAGGAGCGAGCTGATATTTTTGACCCTATCAGATAGAGGCACCGTGCACCCAAAATGTGGTCGATGAGGTTTTGATGCCCAACAGTAGCGTGGCCCCCAGCTGTATACTTGACCAACTCACGCTGCAAGAAGTTGCTCCGGAGCGAGAAGATTACTTCAAAAAACGCTTTGATGACGGATTCGCCACGTTGACTCCTCCTCTTTATGTGGGCGTGACGTTCGTCCCGCCCATTTGAGCGCACCCAACCAATCACCGTTCCGCACAACTCACCCGGTGGGTTCTCCGAAACGGGATTTGTCGGGGTTTTCGCGGATTCTTGACTTGATATTCGGAATCAGGAACATGAGAAGGCCCCGGAACGACAAAAACATGGAAGCCGAGAATCTGGATGGACGACTTTAAGACCAAGAAGAATGTTATAGGGGCTGCAGGATCGCGAGAGTCGGTCGTGCGTACGGCCATTGCGCCGCGCACGCCCGATGTCACTAAGGCAGATGCCAGACTTATCGCTTTAGCCGGTTCGTTCGGTTCATAGGTCAAAGTACTAACAAAAGGTGGTTGACCGAATGAACCTATTCAACAGGATAAGTCTGGCACCTACCTGAGTCGTCAGACGCACATCTAACGTACGCGGAGCAATGGCCGTACGCACGTCCGACTCCCACGATCCTGCAGGCCCCTAGAGGAGTGATTTAACCCTAATCTTACAATTTAACTCTTTACTCACAAAAACCTTCACAACTCCTCGCCCAGAATCCCGCAGCAGATAGCAAAGGCAGATTTGGAATCAGCGTTCCAAGCTTTAGAACATAGCTAACATCTCATCTCCAAAGGCCACTTCGACCAACCTTCCTTCCCTTGTTAGTTTGGTTGCGCATTTACTTTTGCAACTTAGACCTCTTTGGTACTGAAAACTTGAAAGTGCCAAGTAGTCCTGAGCACTTCGAAGTGGCAAGATTATGTTGTAGGGATCGAAAAATATAATCTTTCAGCCCAAGCGAAAAAGGTGCGAACTTGTTGCCGAGAAAACTCATCGTGTCGCATCATCTTTGGAAAAATCCTAAATCTCACAGATAAGTCCTCCCATTGAATAAGTCTAACTACAGATGAGTCCGCCTGCACAGACAAGTCCGTTTTTTTGACTCAGATAAGGCCCTACAGATAAGTCCGTTTTCTTTCCATTATAACTACGCTGAAATCTTGTTAGTTAAGTCCGAAGACTGTCAGATAAGTCCGGACTTGTGTAGACACAGACTTATCTGATGGGAGGACTTAGCAAGATTCTTGGCTGTGCGAGGATGCATATTCATCGACTTTTCTTGGTAAAAAGGTGGACTTATATGTAAGATTTTAAGGTATATTTGCCAAGAAAGTGGTCTTTTGCGGAGGCGCAGACGATTTAGCACTAAGAATTTTGATTTGTAGTATTATTATCTCTCTCTTTTTCTCCTTATGAAGCTGAAGCAATTGGCTTATGGCAAAATATTAGGGTGTCTCATTATTTTTTGACGTTTTCACTACAACCGTCGTCTTTTTGTATATTTCTTTCAATTGAGGTGACTTGGGTCATTCGACAGAACAAGACAAGCTCTACAAGATGGTATGGAGAGTCCACCCAAATCGTATCTTATATATAAAGCTGAATGTCTGTCTGTCTGTACGTATGTGCAGAATAGAAATTTTTATTTCTGAACCGGTTTGGACCAAACTTGGCACACATATACTTCCGGGCAGGGAGCGTGTCATAGGCTACTTTTCGTTATCGATCGATATCGATTTTATCGATTTTTTTGCAAAATTTGAGCTACAGGGCTGGGAGTTGGCACAGGGGGGTAATCGAGCATGCTGATTACAAATATATTATTGACAGGCCCGGGCGGAGCCGGGTTTGCCAACTAGTTCCAAGTGAAGTTTTGAAGTGAATTCTGATAGCAGTCGAAAACGAAGTCTATCGTCAAAAATCGTTTTTCCGCCCCAAAATAACTCAGAAATTCTCCATTTATCCTAGCAATCACGACTCAATTGTACACTTTCCGTATTTTTTGCATGGCTAGAAATAAAGAAAAAAGTGAATGGAGTATAATGGTAAACTCCACCCTAGACGTCCTGAGCTCCTCCCACGTACATCGTCATATAGCTCAGATATACAGAAGATCATGTTGTATGGCCTGAAGCTGAACATCAGGAAGACGATTTTATGGAAATAGGGAAGCAAACTCCTGGTACCATAAGCATCGATGGTGAGGAGCTAAAGAAGACAACGTCATACAAGTACCTAAGCAGTCACATCTCAGCGGAGGGAGGCTTACAAGGGGAGGTCGCAGGCAGGATGAACACAGCATGGATGAAATGGAGAGCCTTAACAGGAGTCCTGTGAGACAGAAGAATGCCAGTGCAACTTAAGTCCCAATTGTACCGGACCGTTATCCGCCCAGCAGCACTGTATAGCAGTGAGTGCTGGCCATGTACGGGAGTGAGGAGCGCAAGCTCAGTGTCATGGAAACAAGGATGCTACGATGGACCTTAGGAGTCACACTGAAGGATCACATCTGCAACGACACTATACGAGCTAAAACGAAAGTCGCTCCAATTGCCCAGAAAATGCAAGAAAGGAGGCTACGATGGTATGGGCATGTGCGCAGAAGGGATGAAAATCACATCACAAGATTAGCCTTGGCGGTGGAAGCACCAGGCAAAAGACCCAGAGGTAGGCCCAAAATGAGGTGGATGGACAGAGTCAGGGCCGATCTGCGAGAACTTGGTATAGACGAAGACCTTGTCTCAGACAGAATAACGGAGACATCTGACGAGAAAAGCAGACCCTGCATAAGCGGGACACATTCAAGGATAAAAAAAAATACAGAAGATTATGTATTGGTACCCTTTGCAAGTGTCCCAGTTCTTAAGAAATGCTGATATTTAGGGTAAAAACGGTAGAAAATTATGAGACACCCTAATAGCTATGCTAATCAAAAAATTTTCGATTTTTGAGGCATATTGTTTTTTCTTGAAAATGTACACTAGTCTTTAAAGGCAGCGTCCAGGCAAATCCGGACCCATGGGGCTCTCACGTGGAAAGTAATCTTGAGGCCCTAGATAAGACTCTGCCCAAGCGGCAGCTCAGATAGTGCACTCAAGGCTAAGATATTGGGCTCCAAACTATGCCCCGTGACCGTATTCTCTTGGATTCGTGGCGCTTTCGCGCGAGGATCCACGCGAAACTGATGTGCCGAGCCATGAATCCATGCGAATACGGTCGCGGGGCATAGTTTGGAGCCCAATATCTTAGCCGGGAGTGCACTATCTGAGCTGCCGCTTGGGCAGAGTCTTATTTAGAGCCTCAAGATTACTTTCCACGTGAGAGTCCCATAGGTTCAGATTTGCCTGGACGCTGCCTTTAATTTTCAATTACATGCTGGCTTCTCGTAGAGTCCAAAATTACGGTTGTACTTATTGAGCCTTGCAAGTACTCATGAGAACGAATCAATAATTTTTGGAGATACATAAGAAGTCTTTTTTCATTTCTTTCAAAGCAGCTTCGGTATATATGAAAGTTTGATGTTGATAGTGTAAGTATGAAGAAGAAAATCTGTATGTTTTTTGTATTAGGGTGAACGGTAAAAAATGGGGCACTTACGAAATAACTGGAGGTTTCTTAAGAAGGAGTAGTGATTGGACTTTCCAATTTGGATAGATGTCAGAATATGCTATTCTCTTTCAGATGATACCTATACAAGGTCATTTACATAATTAATATTTTCATACTTGTTGAAATGCAAAGTTAGGGACTTCGATAAATTATGAAGTTTGAGCAGCATCTGCGCAGTGAAACACGTGAGACCACCCAAAGCAGCACTGCCGGAGTGGGTGATGGGACAGTCACTAAACCCTCGACGGCTTGGTGGCTTCAACTTTCAAAGTCAGGAGATATGGCTTTTAGCAGCTTCGAAAACAAAGATACACATTATTTAATTTTTTGCACGTGAAAGGATGTTCTGTAGGTACCATCTGATAGAGCTTTTTACGCTTTATCCATCCATATGAAGCTTACCTCAGATTTTATCTCTCTTCGGAAAATATAAGGCAAAACATGATTTTTGGTATTTTGTTGCGCCTAAAATAGCTGTTTTCAGGTTTTTTCGCTTTCTTTTCTGAAACTGAAATCTCACGCATTTAACATATTGCTTGAAAGAGCATGAAGAGCTCTTTCGAAAGGCATGTCACTTGCCTTACGACTTTATGGTGGAGCAGCGCAAGATTGAAAATTGTTCCAAAAACCCTGTCTGAGTTCTTCACGGCGCCACGCGTACGGTTGTGAGAAAGGAGCGGTAACGCGTTGCTAGAATGATAGGCAAAGGTCGGTCATGTAAGTGACGTTCGAGTTGCAGCCTGCTTGTTGTTGGTGAGAACAAAAAACTTCAAAATGTAATTAAAATCAAGCTGCCCCATTTTTTACCGTTCACCCTAATAAGAAGGTCGGATTTTTTCTCGATTTTTTGGAACTTTGGTAAGTTTTAGATCTTTTCTTCAAAACTTTTCGCGGATCAAACATGGTGCGAAAGTGTGAATGTAATTTGGAGAGTTTGCTTCGCTCTTGAGTAGTATCTCTCATGCATAAAAAAAAGTCTCTGCAGTTCTATCACAAGCAGATTGCAGGAGACATTTTTGCCTTCCAACTAATAAGAGCAAAGGCCCATTGACTGTTAAATCAGTAAAACTTGCACATCCTTGGTCTGAAGAACTGGAGTA